CGGGGCGGGGCCTCGGGGCGGGGCGGGGCCGCGCCTCCAGCCGACCCGGCAACTTCCAAGTCAGTAGCGAAGCAGTAATTGGTAATGAATGAGACAGACAGAACGACCACCTCGAAAACAACTTGATTTTATGCCTCAGAGCCGAACACCTGCGCCCCCTGTGACCCAGCAAACCCACCAGTGGGCATAAACCCATGAGAAATGTGCAAGAATGCTCGTCAGCAGTTTCAAAATAGCAGACAGCTAAAAGCAGCCTAAATGACCATTGACCGGAGGAGGGATAAATAAATGGTGATATATTCACATCACGGAGTAGTTCATAACTGAAAAGGAATGAACCTCAGTTAGAGTAACAGAATGGGTACACGCTGGAAACGTACTATTGAGAGAGGGGGTGGGGGGAATCAAGTTCCAGAAGATGACACAGATTTTTAGTGAGCTAAAAAGCCAGGCATCATTAAGCAATGTATAGTTTAAACATACATATATTTATGGTAATATGTTTTTTTTTTTAAAGCAAAGAAATGAGAAATATAAATGGTAGGGTGGTGGTTATGTGTGTTTGGGATGGATGAGGGAAGCCAAGAGCAGATGGTGGACAGGTAGGTATGTACAAATTATTGGTAGAGCTACAGTTCTTGAATGGAGCTTTGTACCTAGTATATTGCATATATTGTATACTGTATATATCAAGTAACATTAAAATACAATAAAGATACAACTTACACATAAGGCTAGAGCCTCAGGGGTTACCACTGTTGTCAGATGCTTATCTGTGCATCTTCAAACCTGATCTGTCTCTTTATAAAACAGATAGTAGTGGTAAGTGCTAATATGACATAGGACAGGTACCATCCTAAACAAACCCCTCCTCAGCTCACTTTTTGTGCTCCACTCTGGAGCATGTTGTAAAGATCTGTCTTTATCATTTCATGGAGAACCGACTTGCCTTTTTTTTTAAAATCCTCACCTGATGCTATTTTTTTCATTGCTTTTCAGAGAGAGTGGAAAGGAGAGAGAGAGAGAGAGAGAGAGAGAGAGAGAGAGAAACATTGATGTGAGAGAGAAACATTTATTGGTTGCCTTCCACCCAAGGGCCGACGCTCTAACCACTGAGCCAAACCGGCTAGGGCCCGCCTTGCCCTTTTTATCCAATGCTTAGCATTACATAAAATAAAGGAACTATACTTCCTTATCATTCTCTTTTTAGGGGCTATTAGTGAGGTTTCCAGGTTTTTACTATTACCGGCAGTGCTACAATGAGCGTCTTTGTCTGTGTCTTCTTATACACAAGTATTCTTCTTGGTGTCTTTCCAGAAGTGAAGCTGCACACTTCCCATTGAAATGATTATGGCAGATTCATCTCCACTGGAGGGCCTGTCTTCTGACCCAGGGGCTCACCCTGCCCCCTGAGCAAGGGGAGACACTGCCCAGCATCAGTGGATAGACCCGAGTCTGTCTGGGTGTGCCTTCTCTGCTGTGAGAAATAGTAGTCATTTTCATAGTCACACCCTTCCTGCAGCTATTAGCATGAGTTGGGTCTATGTTTAGCCCTTTCCATTAATTATATTCATCTCCTGGAGTTTCTCATCTATAAAATAGGGATAATGGTGGTGAGGATTACTTCATTTGGCAGGAGGTAGTTTAGTATTGTGGTGGAACGCTTGGACTGGGAAGGCAGATTGTCTGTGTTGGAATCAGGCTGCGCTAAGACATGACTTCGCCTCCTTCAGCCTCAGTTTCCTGCATTTCATAAAATGAGCGTGGTGAGAATGTACCACCTTATCGGGCTGTCCCGTGAGGAAAAAAGAAAGATTATGCCTGTAAAGGGGCACGTGGTGAGTGTTCAGTAAAAGCGGCTGCTCCTTGCGCCTTCCCATCAGGCAGGAATCATGACCCCCATTTTACAAATGAGAGAGCAGAGATCTGAAGAGGTCAGTCACTTGCCTAAAGCCGCTTTAGTGATGGAGTCAGAATCTGAACCCAGGCCCAAGTCCAAAGGCCAAGCTCTTCCCCACTGCCTGCCCCCTTTTCAGCCCCTCCTGGGTTGCTAGCTGCTACCTTGAGCTCTGAGCCTCCTGCCCCTGGAGACCCTGATACCCTGTGGTTTTTGTGGCCCTGGTATGAAGTCAGGGCATGCCCCCTGGTGGCAGCTTCCAGAAGTGCATGACTAAGCCATCTGCTCTTTCTGAGGGGCTTGGCTGGGGACTGGTATGAGGTGGGCTCACTCAGCCTACTGTCCTCCCTCCCCAACCACCCTAATAGCTCAGTGTTAAAAGTGACATCAGCATCCAGGGATCTCCATCCCTCACGAAGACCTCAAGATGAGTGAGCCAGTTTAGTTCTAAGCCAGATACCTCCAGAAAGAAAGTAAAAAATGAAATAAATTGCTATAATTTCCAGCATTTAGTATGTGCCAAACGCTGTCAGAGTCCTTGGCTGGCATTCTTTATGTCTTTCTGAACTTCAAAAGTGCCTTGTGAATGTGGCTGTTCTGCCGTCTTGCAGATGAGGAAGTTGGGACTCAGTGAATTCCAATGGCCTGGGAATAGCTCAATGCCATCCAGCTAGTCCAAGGCCTGGGTGGGATTTCACAGCCTGTGCAGCTCACCCCTCTGCCCAGCTTTGCCCTGAGGATTGGCTGGGGGGGGTCCCAGGTGCCTGGTGGTCTCTGACTTTCTCCAATTCTCTCTCTCTCTTAGATTTTGTGAGCTCTACAGTAAGCTCCGTGTTGCGGCCAGGGGGTGATGTCGCCAGCTGGGGAGTCCTCCCCTGTCCCGTTGCTCACTCACAGGGACCCTGAAGGCCAGGATCACAGCCCTGGAATTGACCTGCCCTCAGCGTGTCCCATCTCTTGCCCTCTCACCCGCCATTCAAGCTCTGAGGGAAGACCCCAATCTCGGACTTCTCATCTGCTACCCGCCTGCCAGCTCCAGTCTTTGAAGAGAGGTTGGGGCTGGGTATGGTCTGGGGGAGGGGAGAGGCCCTGCAGACCCTGGGAGGGCCTGATTCTGCCCTTCCCTCAACTGACCTAAGGGAGCCGGACATCCCTTGGGGTCTCCTCTCCTCTCCCGCCTGGCCTGGGGGCCCTGCAGTCTCCAGGGGAAGGAGGCACTGTGATTCCGGTGCCCCAGGCTCCCTCAGTCTGGGAGCTGCTGCCTGGCCATTACCCTGCGTCCTCTGGTCCCTGCCTCCCGCAGAAACTAATTCAAGACATGGCCCCAGGGCAACCGAAATCTTTCCTACTTTTTTGAGGGGGGCTGATGATGGTTCCATCACATCTTTGCAGAGCTCCAGCCTGCTCCCAGCTCTCCCAAAGGAGTCTGAGCTGCACCGAGGGAGAAAGCGCAGGGCCTTCCTGTCACCTGGCGCCCTGTTCAGCCCAGAGTCTGAGAAAAGACAGATGGGCTTTGAGGGAACTGGAGGAGACGCTGGGACTCCAGGCAGCTGGGGCTGGAAGCCACTTTGCCTGGGGCTGGCCTGGCCTGTCTGCTGGGATGTCTCGCCACTGATGGACCCTGGACCCCGGCCGGTTTTGTACAGCACAGACTCTTTGGCCCTGTTGTTAGGGTTGGAGGTTGGGGAGGGGGCCTACCTGTGGGGCATCAGGGGAGGTATCTCCCCTCTGCCCCTTCTCATGCCGCCTGACCCTGGCATTTGCTAAGGGCGGAGACTGTCTTGCCTCTTTGATACTTTTCTGCATAACTTGAACTTGCAGGTCACCTCTGAACAGGGTACCCCCTGTCCCCATCCCCAGGCCTTGTAACCCTGTCCCCACCTCTTCCTTCTCTTTGCCCACCTCTCGCCTTGCGATATGCCCAGGGTCTGCAGCCCAATGGGCAGTGCTTGGAGCTGAGGCATGAGTGTGTGTGTGTGTGTGTGTGTGTGTGCGCGCGCGCGTGTGTGTGTCTAAGTATGAGGGAGGGCAGACGAGGAGTCTTCTCTCCCCCTCTCCTCCCACTGTGGGGAGCATCTCCTTCCCGCTTGGCAAGGAGCAAATAAGGGAGACTTCAGGTGTTTCTGGACTTCCCTTGCTGCCTCATGGACCTGGTGGGAGAGCCATCTGGCCGGGGGTGTGGACAGCCCCTTTCAGGCCCTAGTTCAGGTGGCAGGTGGGCTTCCTCCAGTGTGCCTGCTTCTGGCTGCTGGTTCTGGCTGCCAGGCCCACTAGAGAGAAGGGTGAGGCCCCACCACTTAGTTATTTTGGCTCAGCCAAAGGAGGAGAGAAAAGCAGCGAGTGCCATGTATTTGCCAACGTGTTCATTTCCATTGGACTTGGACCTGAGAGGGAGGGTTTCCAAGACAGACTAGAAATCCTCTGCCCAAGTCCCCCATCTGGACCCAGCTGGGATCGGATGCTGGGTCCTGAAACCTGGAGCTTCCCAAGTCCTGATCCCCCACCCTCTCACCCCCTCCTCCTGGGCAAACACCTTCCCCCAGTGCTCTGCCCAGCACTGTGCCCCCCTCTCTCTGGCTCCTACCAAGCCCTGCACTGCAGCCCCCCGCTGGCACCTTCCTCAGCAGGCTGCCTGCAGGTGGGGCTGAATACAAGGGTCCCAGGTGGAAGAGGAGGGTGAGGGGAGCCTTGTGGGAGGGAGGGGGGGGCAGATCCAAACCAAAGCCCAGTGTTGGAAGGCTGCAGAGGGAATGGCCCCGTGAGCAAGTGATTAGGAATGGGGAGAAGACAGGTGGGAGAGAGTGGGACAGGAGAAGGACATGGAGAGGCAGAGACAGAGTGAGGAAGGGGGGATTCAGAGAGGCACAGAAATGGACAGAGAGGGAGAGTGAACAGAGAGGGGACCCAGAGGGACAGGGTGCCTGGGATGGGGGAGGGGAGGGGCCTGGAAAGAGGAAGGGACTGGGAAGGAAGCAGATGGAGAGAGGGTTATGGGAGACCAGACTGGGATGCAGGGAGAAACGGAGGGGGAAGAGGGGATAACGGTGGCAGGAAGATGAGGACTGAGGGAGCAAATGTGTGTGTGAAGGGGGCCATCAGACCTGTGGCCTTGTGCAGAGGTTAGAACCTACCCTCTCAGGCCAAGGACAGGGGCCCAGGCGGCCTCGCATCAGGAACAGTCCAGGTGATTGCTGAGGGGGTTAGTGTCACTAGAGTGGGTGAGTGGTAGAGAAGAGAGGTTAATTCCCTTTGGGGCCATGTGACAGTGCGTCCATGTCACCGTCCACTCAGCCAGCTGCCGCCCTGGCCGAAGAATTTGGGGTTAGGAAAGCAGGAGTGGGTGGGCTGAAGGGACACCGGAGTAACAGGGAAAGAGGGAGGAGTGGGGACCAAACCATAGCTCTGTCCCTGAGGCTTCAGCAGAGGTGGGAGCAGAGCAGGAACAGGTGCTTCAGCCAGGGGCCCCAGGGGAAGCCGAAGTGTGGCCCAGATGGCTCCTGGGGCAAGGAAGCCATCATGGCCGGGGGGCGTTTGTGGAATGCCCTTAGGCCAGGCATTGGGATTTAGCCTTCAGGAGCAGAGGGAAGCAGAGATGTCCCTTGTACTCTTGGTCCCTGGAAGCTGAGCTTTGAGCAGGTCTCTGAGTTGGTCCTCCCAACTGGGACTGGATCAGAGGGGTCTGGCACGGCCCGGCTTTCTCTGCCCTGGTTTAGGGATTCCTTCAGGATAGGCCAACGTGGCCACAACCTAGCCGTGGTTCAGAGTGCTGGCTGGTCAAGTCCTTCTGGGTCCCTGGGATGTGAAAACTTTCCTCTTTGGGGACCAGTACTCATGGAGGAAAACACTGTTTTCCTGAGGGTGTGAGGACCATGGGTAGAATCAAGATCCTTGTCGTGCCTGGAACAGCGAAAAGGGGAGCTTACAGACAAGGCTGTGGGGGGAAATTCCTTGGACTTCTTTTGGGATTCCTGCTTGGGCCCAGGGCATTCCCCCTTCTCCAGCTTCCCGTGTGAACTGAGAAAGGGAGACCCTTTCTTTGGAGAAGCTGGGATGTTCCCAGCACAAGAAACTTCCACCGGCCTCTGCCAGGCTCAGGGTTAGCCTTTGGGTGAGATTTCGGTTTCCTGAGAAAGGAACAAGGGAGCCACAGTCCTTCCCAGAGCTCTGACCGGCGGACCTCAGAGGGCCTGTGCTGTGTGATGTTAGGGTAGCTTGGTGTTGTCTACGCCCCATTAGTAAGTTCTGTCTGACTGTGTCCTCACTGTTCTTTGTCCAATTTGGTAACACTTACTTCGGTCCAGACCCCTTCTGCTGCTGCTGGATTTGAGCTTCAGTACAGGTGGAGTGACGTTCAAATAAAGAGACACTTTGTATCACCCACGCTGGCCTCTCCTTCTCTGAGTCGCCCCCGGGGATGGGGGGGGGGTCAGCCTGACTCTGTACCAGGTTTGGTGCGGACTAACAGAGCCCTGCTGTTGTGGCTTGACAGGATAGCTGCTTTTCCCATTGCAGGAAGTCTGGAAGTAACCCGACCATGACCAGCGTGGCCCACAGTGTGATCAGAAACCCAGGCTCCTGTCATCCTCAAGGACACCTCAAGGCCCTAAATGGCCGCTTGGCCCCTAGTCACGTGGTCCACATTTCATTTGAGGACGTCTGGGAATCCCATAGGACTGAGTCACACAGCACACCTAGCTGAAATGTAGTCTGTGAACTGGGCGCATTGCCACCCCAAGTAAAACTGAGGTTTTGTTACCAAGGGGAAGGAGAGAATAGACGGAGTGGGTGGCTGGTGTGGTTTGCCAGTAGTTAGCTGACTTACATGGATTTGAAAGCTGGCAGTCTCTGCACACGCCTGATGGCATAGGCTTGACTTTGGACTTAGGACTCTGACTAGAGCAGACAAGACTCCACCCTTTTCTGCCTGTGTCGACCTGGACAAGCCTCTTCACCTCTTTCTAAATCCCCATTGAATGAATGTGGGTGACGACAGTGATCTTGAGGAAGCTGTAAGGAACGAGGGAATGTATGTGGATTGCTTTGTAGTGTCTGCCACATTGTAACATGCTCCACATGGCAGCTACGTTGATTATCATTTTTGCGCTTGGGAACCGCGGGCATTCAGTGTAGACTAAGCACTTACGGAACAAGAACTGACTTAATGGCCAATCTGGTTGGGGAGGTCACATGTACAAATGTAAAATGTGCTAGGTGCAGGGTATTGTGGGTGCCCCGAGTGGGGATGCCTTCCACGGCTTTTGGTGGCGTGGGTAGAGCTGGGGAGAGGTTCACCGTAGGATGACTAGGACTCAGGCAGGCACGGGTCAGGAAAGCCGTTCAAGGAAGAGAAGGTGGCTTGAGGAGAGACTGAGGTAAAAAACTGAATGGTCTGCGCAGAGAACTAAATGCTGAACTGTAAAGCGTGAGGCAGGGAGGGTCAGAGGTTAATGTGGAGGGCAGGCAAAGGCCACATGAGGACAAAACTCCAGGCCTGAGAGCAATGGGGAACCACGGAAGGATTTTAAGCAGCAAAAGGACACAATTAGGTTTGCTTTTCAGAAAAATCAATCCGCTCACAGTGTTAGGGGTGCTGGATCAGAGGGAGACAATGTTAATGAAAGGGGAATCAGAAGTCTGGTCTCAAGCAAGGTGGTGGCAGTGTCCCTGAGAGTTAAGGAATTCAATATTTAGGAAGTAGAATTGAGGACACTTGGGAACAGATTGATTGTGAGGGTAAGGAGTAGAGAGTGGGATCAGGACAACACTTAAAAAGAAAATTTGCCAGTAGAGCAGGGGAGCAAGATGAGACATGCTAAGTTTGAGATGCATGTGGGGCAACCTGGTGCCATTTTCCAGTAGTTAGCTGACTTACATGGATTTGAGAGCTCAAGAGAAAGATCTTGGAGAAAGTTTTCCAAGAAACATGAGCATGCAGGTAATGGTTGAAGTGTAAAGCACAGATGAGCTTGCTCAGGTGATTGTGTAGTGTGAAAAGACCATGGGCTATGGGATTCTGGAAAACACCAGCACTGAAAGGTCAGAGGGATGGATGTCCAAAGGGAGAGAACAATGACCGAGTGATGAGAACCGTGCAAATGTGCTGTTTTCGAAAGCAAGGCTTTAGAGTTCAAGGGGAAGGTCAACTGGTCAGGTGGTACAGAGAGGTCCAAAATTCGGGACTGAAAAATGCGTCCACTGGATTTGGGAACAAGCAGGCCACTGCCGAAGAGCATGTTCAGAGGAGTGTGGGGAGAGGCAAACTGAGGTCTGCTCAGGGAGACCATGGGAGGTGACAGAGTGAGGACCACTTTTTGGAGAAGTGCAGAATAGAAGGGGAAATAGTTGGAATTCATTCAGGAAATATTAAGAACACACAGTGAACCAGCAGTGGACAAGGACCAGCATGTCATCTAGAGAAGCATGTGGAATTTCTTCCTTTGGCTGTGGAAGAGTTCTGAGTGTTCCTAGGTCGTGGCCAGGAGTTTAAAGAGAGGATGATTAATGGAAGAGGAGGGAGCCTCTTTTTTGGAGAACAGGGAAG